CGCCCACTAGTGGGCGGTAGGGACCAGGTTGACTATCACTGAGCTAGAGTGTGACCTAGCTAGATTCACGGTCATCATCCTCACACATTTCTTGTCTAATTTTAAAAACGCAGAGAGTGTATTAATGCAGCAGACAAGCCCGCAAGAAAGACCGCTTGCTAGTTGAAGTAGGCGCAAAGGAAATATCCCGGGGCAGGTTTTTTACCTTTGTGGTTTCCAAGTCCATAGTCAAATCCTTGCTCATTACTGCAGGCTGTCCCTCTGTGGAAAGCTTGCAGCGAGAAAGGGCTCGGTGGAGGAGTCTGGCCGTTCTGATCAACAAGAACTTGCTCTGTTTAAACAAAGAAATAAGCCAAAAAATGGAAAAATATATAATAATATCCCAAGCTTGGTTTAGAACGAACTGATTATGTGTGTCAGCAGGGAATACTAGTATCAAAGGAAACGTGTATGCTTTATACCAGGGGTTTCCCACCTTGACGACTTTAAGACTTGTGGACTTCAACTCCCAGAGTTCCTCAGCCAGCAAATCAAAGCTGGCTGAGGAACTCTGGGAGTTGAAGTCCACAAGTCTTAAAAGTTGCCAAGGTTGGAGACACCTGCTTTATACCATACAATCATTCTTTATTTTTTTGCCCAAGTGAGATTAGACACACAAGGGATTTGGCTCCAGTGGAGAAGCTCTCTGTGCACATGCAGAGCAACCGAGTAATAATAATCATAATACAGGTAGTCCTCAACTTACAACCGCAATTTAGGTTGCTAAGGGAGAAATTTGTGAAGTCAGTTGTGCCCTATTTTATGACTTTTCTTGCCACAGTTGCTAAGTGAATCACTACCGCTGTACAGCTAGTAACGCAACTTGTTAAATGGCAAAAGGGGATTACGTGACCCCAGGACACTGCAACCGTCATAAAGGTGAACCAGTTGTCAAGCATCCAAATGTAAATCACGTGACCATGGGGATGCTGCAACGGTCGTGTGGAAAATGGTCATAAACCACTCTTTTCGGTGGTGTTGTAACTTCGAAAAGTCACTAAGTGAACTGTTGCATGCCGAGGACCATCTGTAATGATACCAATGAGGGGTGGGATTTCTGCCTTATTAGGCTACCAAAAATTACATTGATGTCCCAGGGGGTCTGCAGGATACCTGAGGAAGGAGCATCTCCTGGACTCGACCGAGACCAGGGGTCAGCAATCTGCGGCTCTGGAGCCGCAGGTGGCTCTTTCATCCCTCTGCTGCGGCTCTGTCGCCAGTTGGCTCCACAATTGATAGGGCTTTCAGTTAGGATCGGTAGTGGAAAAGGGACACCGCGCTAGGAGACTCTATGGTGGGGGAAGTGGACTTCCATCGACAGAGGAAAAAAAGATGCCATGCTAGGAGAAGGCTCTATGGTGGGGGAAGCGGACTTCCGATCAGCTCCAGAACTGAACGGAGAGCTTCCGGTTAGGACCTTTATGGCTCATTGAGTGTTTAAGATTGCCAACCCCTGACCTAAACAAAGCCACCAGCAGTCTGAGTCTCTTCTCCCCAGGACTGCAGTTGATCTTGAGATCTCTGGCAAGTCCCTTTGACACACCCCTGCCCAAATCCAGACTGCATCAAGGGCAAAGCTCCCATATCAAAGTAACTTGTGAAGCAGAGGATGCTCTATTATGTTTTGTCTGCCTTCCTTCCTTTTTCTTCTCCCTCTCTTTCTCTTTTCTTTCTTTCTTTCTTTCTTTCTTTCAAACTAAGCTGCTATTCAGAACTACATTCAAGTCCTCTTTTATTGGCTGTTCCCCCAAACCATAGGGCTGGAATCAGTGGTGGGATTCAAATAATTTAACAATTGGTTCTCTGCCCTAATGGCCAGCTGGATAGGCAGGGTTTGGTGGTCATGTGACTGGGTGGGCGTGGTCAACTCAACGTCACTCACGTCGATGGGCGCTTCGCCTTAGCTGTGACAATATAATAAGGGTNCGCACACTGGGAACAGACTCCAGCTGTTCGTCTGCCTCACTGATGTCTGACTCTGAAGGCAGCTGATAACTGGCATATCACTGTGGCCTCCTCTTCTGCCTCCGACATAGAGCCCTCATTAGAGCTTTCCCCAGACTCCAGGACTGGCCCATGTTCCTCCCCAACCTCTTCATTGTCTAAATCTGCTGCCAGCTCCGGCCATTGGTGGGCCACAACAGGTACTTTCCAATTTCAATCAATCAATCAATCAAATCTTTATTCTGTCATAGATCAGCATATTTCTTATTTCTGAAAACAGTAATGCATTGCCACCAAAAGCCTGAATTACACTGATGAGCAGTTAAAATCAATATTCACCACGTAAGGATGACTGGAAACTTCAAGATTAAAAGAGACACTGGGATCCAGATGAATAAATGATTTAAACGTAGTATGCATTTTACAGGGAAAAGTTGGCCGGACAAAATTAGCTATTAAACTTTCAAATTTCCTGTGATTTTTTCCCCCCCAAAACTAGTTGACACAAAGCAGAAATGAGTAATATGTTTGAATGAGTAACAGAAACTTTGGAACATCACACTCAATTAAACAAAAATCTCTACCTTAGTTAGTCCAACATAAATAAAGTAGCGCCTCGGAAGAATTTAAAGCAATGTGGCTGGTTAATAACACAATCTGAGTGATTTATGCTCATTAATTGGGCTACAATGGCCAAGCATCTCCAAGACGTTGCTCTATTTTGTGGGAACTCAGATTATTTTCACTTGAACAGCAGATCTGTGGCAAGATCAACAAAAGTCTCGGATGGCTTTGAGGACCATCCATCCAAATGTTAGGTAAGATTAGCCAAAGGAGATTTGGGATGATGGCCATGGATGCCAAAGACAACCAGCCTTCGTTACAGTTATCTTCCAAGATTCTTAGAGGTTACCTCATCAATAAAAGTAATGGATCCATTGACTTTAACTAGGCCAATCTGTTCACTCTGAAGAGACGGGTGGCTACGGATTCGCAAGCCAGCACTGTCCTTGGCCACAAATTTGCGAACCTGCAAAAAGCCCAGGGAGAATTAAGGACCCCGAAACCTAAACAAAAACAGTTCTTGACACCAGCAATGTTACACAGAACCAATTTCGGGGGATAAAATCTGCATAGTTCAACAACTATTTCCCTTAATAGCTGCTCAAAATGTCCATTAAAAATGTCTCTTTTTGGATGACAAAGAGAAAAGAGGAGGGGAGGGGAGAAGAGAGGAGAGGAAGTAGAGGAAAGGAGAGGAGAAGGGAAGGGAGGGGAGGAGAGGAGAAGGGAAGGGAGGAGAGAAGAGGAGAAGAGGCGAGGAGCAGGGAAGAGAATGGAAGAGAAGAGAGCTGTAATGACATCTCTCTTACACTGGGTCAGGGGTTAGATCCCTCTTTAAAATAGAATATGCTGAAGACTTCTGGCTTATGCGCAGCAGAGTTTGATCCCTGCTTGATTTGATCCCTAGAAATTACTTTAGAAGATTCCAGCATGGAATGGTCTGTCAGAGGGGATTGTTCAATAAGCGTGGGCCACAGAGATAACAGAGAAATAACAAACGGGACATTCAAAGACCAATTTCAATGGGCTTTTTTATGGAGAAGCCTATCTAGAGCAGGCATACACTCCCCAAGTAACCTATTTTTTTGTGCGCATTTATTCTGATGAAGAACTAGAAAAATGTATTTGCCTGGAGTGAGTGGAAAAATCAGAGATGGCTGGTACCCCGTAAGATATTATGGGAAAATTACAGCACCACATTAAAACTCAGGATCAGGGTAAAAAGGCTATTTCAACATTTGTACAAACTCTGCAGAAGTAAAGCTGTTCCTTCCTGTCTCCCAAGGGATCATGATAATGTGACCTAGCTTGATTAATGAAACATCTGCAAGAAAACAACCCAGCTCAGAGAGCACCAAGGACTCTTCAGATCAGATCAAAGCACATGGGCGCAAAGCAAAACACCAAATGCCTGGACATCATCCCACAGCTCTGGAATATACTTCATTTTCTTCTGTCCTTTTTGAGTGGCGTTTCTTCATCTTGCAGCCACAGGACAGAAGTGTCCTGGGAGTCAACCAAAGATCCATGTAGCTGGTTGATGCATTGCTTGAGGGGTTGTGGCTCTTTGGGCAGGGTGCTTGAGGACAAGCAGCCTTCAAAACCCACAGGATGGGACTAAGGCTCCTCTGCTTGGCTCCTCTGACCACTGAACTGGCATTCCTTTAAAGATGAAATTGGGTTAGGTGGTGTCAAATCGTTGTCCTTCATATACCTTGTTTGGCAAAGGTTCAACTTTTGGTTTTATCAACTGGGTTCCTGGTGGGATCATCCCTTTTGGAGGATCTTTCACTTTAACTTCCAAACCAGCATCTGCAAGTGAAGGAAATCGCTGTGATGTAGGAAGGTAAAAAGGGAAACTGTGGCGAATAATTTTACCTTTCCATGCTTGGCCAGACAGAATTACATGGAAACAAAACGCTCTGTCTTAACACATTGGCAAAATAAAAAATAAAATAAATCAGAACACAAAATACAAGCCGGGTGGACACGACCTTGTAGACGGCCCTCTCTCTGTCAAGGACCTTGGAGCACTCATATCTAATGATCTAAGTGCCAGAGCTCACTTCAACCTTTGAAATCCTGTGTCTTCTTGAGAGGGTATCCTCTATCACAGAACCTGCTGCAAATGCGTTCAGGAAATGGTGAACTTTACCACTTTACAAGGTGCCTCGGTTTCTTTCAGGAATCATTCCGTGCAGCAAAATGCAAAATGGAAGAATAAATGCCTTCGTTCTCCTGACCCAGAATTTCAAAGGCTGATTGATAACCGCAAATTCTCAAAACCCATAAGGGGAAACATGGAAAGATACACCACCAGCCATTTGAAGCAAACAACTTTGGTGTTAGCAGTTTGGCTGTGAACCAAGTAAGTCTGAGCTGCTCTCTGAACATACAGAGACAGAGGTGGGGCTGAGGAAATTCACTCCAGTAAAGGAAGGGCTTGGTCAGTAGGTCTTCCTCATTCATAATCAAGGCAACTATAGTGGTAGCTCAGTACCAGTGGTGGGATTCAGCCAGTTCGCACCTATTCGGGAGAACCGGTTGGTAACTTTCTAAGCAGTTCGGAGAACCGGTTGTTGGNAAAAAAAAATGGCATGCATTTACAGAAAGCTTGAGATCAGTATTTTGAACAGATTACACTGAAGTAGGTTCAGAAGAAGAAAAATAAGAAGAATCGGGTCATTTAGAAAGTTCTGTGGCAGGTCTGATTTCATTTCATTTCATTTTTTGAAAGCTCGAAAACAGAGAAAGGCTGAAAAGGTAAGCCGTAGGTATTCCACAGTCCCAAAGTGCTATTATATACGTCCTTTGGATGTTCTTTTGGGAGGGGGGGGGGGAAATAGCATGACACACTACATCCTCACACCCGTTGCAAGAAAAGAAGACCGAAGCATGCAAAAGTGGACACTGATTCCAAGAAGTCAGACAATTTTTGCGGCACCCCCACCAGTAGTTCATTAGCGAAGTTTGCAAGAGAACAACTTGCTGATTTGTTTGTTTTTTATGAATTAACTCTATTCTAAAATGAAATACGTGAGAAAAAAACAGCAGATGAATTAAATTGTAGACAACCATCTACAAAAGTTAACCCCTTGGCAACCCCAAGGGAGGAAAAGCAAAGGCTGGGAAAGAGAGCAGTTTTAGCTTAAGGACATCTGATTTGCAAGCCAGTATCTATGAAGGTAAGAAGGGAAGTTCCAGGAGTCCTACCTCGCCCACTGCCTTGACTCTGTTCCCCAGGACTAACATTCCAATGGGGATACCTCTAAGGTTGGGACAGCTTCGGACGTTGTGACCTGACGGGCCAGTCTTCACTACCTTATACAGTCCAGGCCCACCACGAAGGAATGGCGCATCGGGCTCCTGCATGACTGCTTCCTGAGGACAGGGTGAGTTGGGGTCTTTGAAAAAGTCCTCTGCATTAGATCTAGACTCCTGGAAATTTTGGAACACAACAAAACAGAACAAAACAAAACAAAACCAGAACAGCCTGTTAATAATGCCCTTGTAGTTTTCAGCTCTACCCTCTTATAAGCTGCCGCAACTAAGGTCCGCTCTAAAAGACGATCGCACGTGTTAATTTCCTTATCAAACGTCTATGGAGGTTCATAGTCATCCAGGTCATGGTTGCCCCAAAGGTGCGGGTTTTTTTTCCCATGAGGCAGCTCTTGTTTTTCTTTGAAGATGTTTTGCTTCTCACCCAAGAAGCTTTTTCGGATGAAGAAATTGGATGAGAAACAAAACGCCTTCAAAGAGAAACAAGGAAAGTCCAGCTGCGTCTTGGAAAAAAAAAACCACCTTTGCGATTCCTTATCAATCCTGAATTACTTCTGTACCTAAACATCTGCTGTGAATAAAGCAAACACTCATCCATCATTTTGAAAAAAACAGTTCCACCACAAAACCGCGGTCGACTAAAGCGCGCTCGATGAAACCGCGTACCTGACGTCATCACAGNCCCCGCCTACCCAGCTGGTCATTAGGGCAGAGAACTGGTTGGTAAATTATTTGAATCCCACCACTGCTCAGTACTCAACTGCTACAAAACTCATCAAATCTGGTACTCGGTGCATTTTGACATGAACATTTTTGTCCCGGTACTCATCGTTTGTTCGGCACTCAACTCACAAGGTAGAACTTGTTGGTGTTGGCTGCCTTGTGACTCGCTACATTATTTCTTATGGGGGGAAAATTTATTTGGTACTCATCATTTGTGGTATACTCATTGCACTTCCCGATGACTACTAAGTAGTGCTGAAATGCACTTTTTTAAACTACCGGTTCTGTGGGCGTGGCTTGGTGGTGGGCAGGGGAAGGATACTGCAAAATCCCCAATTCCCTCCACACTCCTGGGGGAAGGATATTGCAAATCTCCATTCCCACCCCACTGGGGCCAGTCAGAGGTGTTATTTGCCTGTTCTTCGAATTATTCAAAATTTCCACTATCGGTTCTCCAGAACTGGTCAGAACCTGCTGAATACCACCTCTGATCCAAATCCAGATTTTGAGAAGAAAACAGAGTTCCCACTATAGAGAAATCTCTCTAAACTAGCTCAAGTAAAAGCTGAATCATCACCCCTGCTACTAAGGGGGAAACAACTGTAGTTGTTATGCCTGCTTCTCAGCAATTCTATTTGCTTTTCTATTTGAGACAGAAAGCACAGAAACTCAGCATAGGCTTCCTCCAAAGCCTGGTCCCTCTCATGCTTATGAAAACAGATCTTCTCTATCCAGGGTTTGGCATGCAGCTATAACCAACTAATACTAGGATGTTATAAAGAGGACAAATTTCTATTCAAACATACCTATTTCAATGCCATCAATGGTAACATGTATAGTGTAGAGACCAACTGCTCCTGGCGTCCAGTTAGCACAGTAAGTACCATCGTTATTTACTCTTATCAACATATTTTCACTTGGTCTAGGAAAAAAAAAAGCCAAAAGCAAATATGGGAATCACAACACATCACCACAATTCTACCTTCACTAATTCGGGTCTTGTGGGTGCTTAGAAAATCCAGCACAATTGCACTTATTTTCAGGAATCAAAAATTAAGAGCAATTAATTAGAGCAGGGGTAGTCAACCTTTTTATACCTACCGCCNAAAAACACACTAGCGGAAGACTAAAAATACAACCCTCCGAGCTGGAAAAAAAGCATTTGCATAGGAATACAGAATCTGGAAGGGACAGGAGGTGGTACAGGCAATGGACTGGGACAGGCAATCTGGGAATCTGACATCAAACAAGGACCTCCTACAGAATTCCAATGGGAGCTGACTTGGTTACTAAAAGTGCAACACTGTTCTTTACTTTTGGTCTTTGAAGGCCCATCCAGAAATCCAACCCAATGCTCTGGGGTGCATCTCAATTCCTTCAGGACAAAAGGTACAAAGGTACAAGAAACCTAACCAATCTAAACCAAGCATAAGCATGCACCGCGTGAGTCTCTCCTCAGCAGGTGTCCAACCGAAGGGGATTCCTAAGGACAAAGAGTTTTGACATCCCCCAGACGGATGTCTCATTCTTCGTCTCAACTACAGTGGAAGAGAGAAGTGCAGAAAGTTTCAGAAGGCTCACCTGAGGGGGAAAAGGTTTAGAAGTCCACGGATACAAGTCCAAATCCCTGTCTCCTTGGCTAGCATTAAAGATACTCTATGTAAAGTTTAAGACAGACAGGTATCAATTCAACAACGTTCAACAACAGCAGAAGAAATCAAGAGACAAATACAATGTTTTGGTTCCCCCCCCCCCTCTATTTCTGCACCCTTATAACCACGATCTTTATTTGCTTGTTTTTCAAAAAAATAAATAAATATGGAACTTTTGTTAGCCGGGTACGTTCCTCAAGGTATCCGCAGGAGGAAAACCTCTGATAAAACGAACGGTTTAGGCTGCCCGCTCTTCTACAGGCTAATGTAGTGTGTCATGCCATTCACCAAACAGGATAAGCCCTTCAGGTAGCTGCCTGATTTTGGTGCAGGAGGATTTCCTCTTGTTGAAGGAGAGGACCAGACTTATCACAGGTCAGATGAAAGTGATATGAAAAGTCAGTCTGCCACTTTGTGAAGAGTTTATTGCACGAGGCTTGGGAAACCAGGGTTTAAAAACTGGATGTTCTGCCACCAATTTGTAATGGGAAATGTCTGTTTTCAAGTGAAGCTGGCTAAGATAGATAAAACCCACCCAAGATGGGTTTTTTAAAATGTGTTTTACTGCCTGATGACGCATACGCTCACCGGTTTTGATGATATTATCTGCTGTATTTTGACAAAGCTATTTTTAACACCATTTGTTGGAAAACACAGAGCTGCAGAAATGTTTTCCAAAGTGAAAGGTTTTAGGTCACAGAGGTTTCAAAGGCCTCTTGTCCCTCATTTACAAATCAGGTGGTGGAAGATGCTGCCTTTGCTGGGAGGGGACAGAAAAACAGAGGGAAGCCACATTGGTCCACATCAAAAATGAACTCATTAAAAAAGAAATTGTCTACATTTTTAAAAAAAGTCAGATTCCTTAAACTGAATAAGAGGTTGCACTGCAGATTTAAACGAATATTTGTGATAGATGGATTTTGCAAAGAAAAGGATGAAAATGGTACATTAAGTGAGGAAGTAGCGTGTCAACTGAATATTCAAAATGAATGCATTTGTTTGCTCAATATTAGCATAGCAACTTTTCTAAGCAGGACCATCTACAGTACAACAGTTCCCAGGTCAGAACACTCTTTCAATATTTGCCTGCCATGTTTAATTTTCATGAGGGGAAAAACGTAACTAAAATAAAACAGAATTGAAGTATAGACCAAACTCTAGAATTTTATAATTTTTCAGTTGCACATTCTCTTAGCATTCTCAGAAATGAGATTTTAATCATATTAGACTTTAAAACAGCCAACCTGCAGAATCACCCGTTTCTAAGTTATCATAGCATTCATTAGATCAGTGTTTCTCAACCTTAGCAACTTGAAGATATCTGGACTTCAACTCCCAGAATTCCCCAGCAGCGAATGCTGGCTGGGGAATTCTGGGAGTTGAAGTCCGGACATCTTCAAGTTNAATATATATGGAAAGATAATTTAATCAAGAATGTAATGCAACAAAGTTTGTTCAATAATATGTATTCTATGAAAAGCTATAGCCAAATATAGCCAGCAATAAAATCCAATTAATAGAAGCAATCATTCAATCTTGGTTTCACATTATAACAGCTGCAGAACTAAAAGACTTGGTTCACTCCATGGGAAGACATTGTAAGGCTGTAATACATGGTAAAAATTACCCAACTAAGTGTTAACTGACATGGTGATAATTTTTGTGTATCTCGTTTTTTCCACGTGTTTCACTTTTCTTCTTTATAACTGCCATTCTAATAGCAAATCCTTCACAAAATTTATTGCATTACAGTCTTCATTAAATTATCTTTCCACTGATATATGATTTTAGGGCACTACTGCAAAAAAAAGTGGTGTTACTAGCCATCAAACATCAAAAATACTGTACTTTTCCCAAAAGGTTTCCACAATTTTGGCCACTACTGTATGATAAAACACTACGTTTTGTATAGAGCCATTGAACTAGAATCACTGCAAACAGTCACACAAATTTAACAATTCATATATAGAGAAACCCAGTGACTGAACATGTTCAAATATATTTCCCATACATGAAAGGGTAACTATGTTTTATCTCTTTTTTCCTCTTCTTTGCTTGCTTGCCTGCTTGCTTGAATCCATCCATCCATCCATCCATCCATCCATCCATCCATCCATCCAATTTTCCCTGGAACTGTTGCTAACATATAAAGATGAAAACAATTCTGCTAACTGGCTAATGGGTAACACTACTTTCTTTAGGTTTAAAGATCATACAAAACTGTTACCTCTTAGGTGTTGGTGAAGCAAAACGTAACTCCTCAAAAGAATAATTTTCATATACCTGAAAAGCAAAGGGTGTTGTCAAACTCCTACTGTTATGTTAGCAACTTGGAATAACAGCCACTTTGTCTCTCCAGACCTCCCCAAACTGGTTTGACCCCACAAGGCAAAACTTGCTCTCTCCCCATAGGGGGACTGCGGCTTCTACTTAGCCTGTGCATTTGTACTAATCTGTTTGTGAGATGGCGAGACTTTCTCCTACCCCTTATCAACCAGTGAAGAGTCTCAAGAAACTGGCTAAACCAGGAATGTGAAACTCAAGGCCCGTGGGCGGATCCGCTGTACTTAGACCTGGCCCGCGGGGCCACACTGGATATAGTAAAGGACCAGCCCATGGTGCCTCTGCCAGCCAAAATGGGCTCCCGAGCTCCGTTTTCAGCTGCGACAGACTCTGGCAACCCTCTGCCAGCAAAAAGAGTTGCCAGAGGCCATCGCAGCCGGAAATGGAGCTTGGGAGCTCATTTTGGCTGGCAGTGTGCTCAGGCAACCACAAATGCCCCCGAAAGCAATGTCGATCTGGCCACAGTCGTCCCAGCCCCCTGAGGTCAAACACAACCCTGATGAGGCCCTCAATGAAATTGAGTTTGGCACCCTCGGCCTCAACTAAAAGACATGGAAAGCAATAGAGAATGGCTGGAAGCAAATAATTTAATTGTACATTCACTTGCTCAAGGACGACTGGTAAGTCAGCAGCATAATTTTGAATCTAGGCTGTTTTTTTTAATAAAAGCACTTAAGACAGAAAGACAAAAAGAGAGAGAGAATCATGTTGATGTACAGCTTGTTTAGTGACTGAAGTTACAACACCACTGAAAAAAGTGACTTATTTTTCACACTTACAACCATTGTATCATCCCCATTGTCACATCATTACAATAAAGACGTTTGGCAACAGATTCATACTTATGACTGTTGCAGTGTCCTGGAGGGTCATATGATCCCCCTTTGAAACCTTGTGACAAAGTCTATGGGAAAGTCAAATCCACATAACAACACTGTTACTCACTAAATAACCGCGGCGATTCACTTAATAACTGTGGCAAGAAAGTTCATAAAATGGGGCAAAACTCACTTAATATCTGTCTTATTTAGCAACAAAAACATGGGGCTCAATTGAAGTCGTAAGTCAAGGACTACCTGTACCCTTTACCCTGTTTTCCCAAAAATAAGATCTCCCCGGATAATAAGCCCAATCGGGCTTTTGAGCGCATGCGCTAAAATAAGCCCTCCCCTGAAAATAAGCCCTCCCCAAAAATATTGCAACACAGCAGCAG